GCAGTTCGGGATTCAGGGTCACTATCTGATCCCGTCTGCGCAGATCGAAGATTTCTACAAGGATCAGTGCTAGGCCCTCAACTGTTTCCAATTTTCATAAACGATCTAACGGACATTCTGAGTCCAAAAAATGTGAATGTTTGCAGACGTTGCATTAATAATATGGAAAATAGCAACGAAACCTGAGGACTACTAGTTAGCACTTCACAGAACAATTAGTACTGCTCATCAATGGTCGGTCGAAAACGACATCGAATTCAATGCATCGAAATGTACGGTCATATCCCTTCGCCACAAAACTCGGTTTCCGTACATCCTGGGATATCAACAACTTGCATATACCTTGGATGAGAAGGATTTTGGTGTTCTTGGTGAGACGACCTAAGTTGTTTTAGAGTATCAAGCTTGGATTAGCCTTTTCGATTGCTCACAGGTAACGCAATCTTGATGGTCTTGGTTGTAGGTTTCACTACTTGACTGATCGTTAATTCCCCACCAGTTCATGCCACAATTCACAATCCTTTGGCCTTGATCGGTATTCGTTTAGCCAAAACCCGCAATGCTTTAGCGAAGACCCGTGGTCCTTCAGCCTCGACACACAAACGTTAGTCATGTGGCACTAGGTGAGTCAGATAAAAAAATATTGGAATACTCTGAAGTCAACGGATGTTGAGAACAATTATTTTCTACAAATGTTGATGTTGCAAACCTTGGCTAAGAAATACGGTGTGGAGGTTGCATGGTGAGACGCATGTTGATTGGAGAAGATTTAACCCATGTGCCTGTATCGTCAAACCATTTGGCACATCTCGTACAACTTCAGTGTTTCTGTATAACATGCGATACCCTTAGGTGTAAAAATCTCAAGTGTAACTCAAACGATATGTTGTTTTGCGTTCACAAGTGAACTCTGCTCATGAGACTGGGATGCATAAACGTGCTGAGGATAATAAACCGCTCGGCGTGGGTTGCACTACTTGGGATATCGTTAATTCCCCACGAGGTTAACGCATTCATATGCGATGGACAGTGTTTGTGATGACGGACACAGAGCACTGGACAGCTGTTTCGTCCTGTTTGGAATTCGTCAACAGTGCATACTTTTCTGTGTCCCTATCAGGACTCGGATCACGAACAGTCGGGTCGGAAGTCCAAACCCTTATCCTTCAGCTCATTGTCGCGTATCACAAACGGTTCCATCGCATTTGAATGCATTGGCCTAAGTTGTTCTCTAAACTGCTCCAGGGCATTGTCCACCGTTGTAAGGCATGTTGATCTGCTAAAACGAGCATTTGGCAAATTTGAACCTGCGCTGTTCTCACGCTTATTATCAGTCCACATTCGACCTCAAATAGAGTATGCAATTCAAGCATGGAATCCATGGCTGCGACGCACTCAGAAGATTCTGGAACGTCCACAAAGAATGGTCGTCACCAAAATGACCAATGACTGCATTTCCAGACTGACATGGAAAGACTGAAATCATTGGTGTTGTACTCCACTCAGCATAGACGAATTTGAGGAAACTTGATTTTGGTGTACCAAATAATGCAGAACCCGGATCACTCATGGGGTTCACTGTTTGCCTTGTCGCCCAACACTCACCGGAGGGGGTACTCGTTCAATTTAGTGCTCCAAAAGTGTCGATTATAGAATACCCATGTCCTTCAGAGTGTGCAGTATTTGAAATTCTCTACCACCTCACGTTGCTTCTGCGTCCGTAATTGGTTCTTTCAAGCACAAACTGGATGAAACATAGTTAAGTCTTAGATCCCGACATCCGTTGCAGTGCTCTAAACAAAGAAAATTTGTAATATTTTTTATCATTCTACCAAGCGTAAATCGAACCATTTGTGTTAAACCCTATGGGACAAGAATAGCAACCGCTTGTAAGTATCTCCCGTAGTAAAACTTTGACTTCCCTTCACTAGTGCTCTTGACCGTGTCCCTTATTCTATTGTACATGATTCTGACTGTTACCCTCACTGTTACCCTCAACGCATGCAGTTACCATAAACGCTTGGCGGTGGTGGACAAGTGGTTAGGTCACCAACTTATGACCTGTGGGTCCCGAGTTCGAACTGCTCCACCGCCGCCCATCTTCCCAGGCAGCCTTTGTATAACCGCGTGTCCCCTTCCTGAATGTTGACTGTGCATTTGTATATTCAATAAGTAAAAACGGAATTTAAAAAGACATTACCGTTTACCAAACCCGCTTATAAAATAGTGGGTGTATCTTAGACGAGTCAAACGTTGGTGCAGTGACATCATCGCTTGAACTTATTCCACTCCGAATTTCCCACATGGCGCATCAATCCACAACTGATTCTCCTGTGGTGATCCTCTACCAACAGTTCAGCAGCGTCTGATTCAGAATTAATCCCCCTCCTGTGCCAGCCCGAAAATCACACGACCAATCGGGTTCATTTATCGATCGGTCGGAGGGTTCAGCCGCAACAACGGGCCTATTGCTTGCCCAGATATACCCAAGCGAGAAACCACACCTTGTTTGCAGCCGCGAGTCTCAGACAGACCTAGTGAACTTCGACTGTACAGCAGGCATGCCATCACAAAACTGATAGACTGCACGTGATAATAAGAGCACCACAACAAGTACAAGATAATGTAAAACGATGGGACAATCGAACTATCATACTATTCACATAGCAACTTGATATCTTAAATTGATATTCAAACATCTTAAATTGAAGAAGGTAGAATTCCTAAGTCGCCTTCTGCTTGATCTTCCTGATCTGTGCATGTGCATGTGCGGCTGCTCTCGAGACTGGCAGCTTTTTTGCTTCCCGTTGACTCTCGCAGCTCTCAAGTGTTCGCTCCAGTAAGAGTCCGCGTGTCACCTCTGGAACTGACTGAAGGCTACCCAGTGAGCTGGCATCGTTGCGTGACTTGTTTTAAGTTTCCGGGCACAAATGTAGCTAATCACATGCCTCGAATACTAGTCTTGAAACCACATCGACGACCACTGGATAGTCAATGCCGCATTCTTCACGAATAACAGTTAACAATAAATGATGGACTGACCGGCGAGTATCTGAGTCAGTCTGGTAGCATAAACACCTTACCAAAAGGCGATACAAGCAATTGTTTTGCAATGAATGGAGTCGTTGATTTACCCGGTCGTGATATCACCTTTGAAGTCCCAACTCTGGATGGATACATGGGTTAAGAAAAACAAGATTCTCTGTCAATCATTTTTATATCTTCTGATGAAGCTTGCCGGACGACTAGATTCTTTTAACATGCTCCCAATACCGTACAGTTTGGTTGGACGCAAATTCGACGAGCTCCATTGACCTAGGATCAGGGCAAGCCTGATCGAGGAAACCTCCCAGGAGGCAGTTTAGGATTTTGTCACTTAGATATAACGTTGGGGTTCTGTATTGTACAGTGGGTTGATTAGTTGTACCGAAAACAAGACAGATCCGTATTTTTCACCCAAAGACCGAATAATTTATGCACTTGATGTCGACTGGAATTCCGAGGTCAATTATAAGTTCACACACTGTTTATAGATTAGAGGCAGAGCAGTTCCGGGAGGGCCCATTTACAGATCTACTGAGACTGCCGTGCGTAATGCTATCAGCGGTTTGGTTTCTTCCGGAGCAGTCAAATTCGTGCTCACTTTCAAAACTTTCGAACCCCTTTGAGAAACTGATGTCTTTTTGTCAGACTTTTCCCTGTACATTGTGTGTTGTACGCTTTAAAAAGAAAAGAAAGATGAACCGCGAATCGATAATTTTTTTTACTCTTGTAGATTAGAGTTAGATGTGGTATTTTTTTCTCCGATATCTCATCGGATGACACGAGTAACGTTATTCATGTTTTTTCCATCGAGGCTGTGCTCACTTTAAAATGAAGAAACCGTGATGATTTTGAGTTGACCGTGAGGGGTCCGGAACTGTTTATTTTTTAAATTTCTATCGTCAATCTCTGAACGGCAACGGCTCGATCGGGTTATTACCTTTTCGGTTGGTTAATAGCACAAGGACGTGGTGTTGAGCGGCGGGTGGAGAGCGGCCAGGGGCCAGGGCTGGGTGGGGCGGGAATCAGTTGTGGGTTTTGTCCATACTGCTTTCACTTTAGTTTTGTGCTAAATTGACGGCATACCAAAAACTGTCCTGTTTTGTTCCTGTCAGCCTCCGTAGAACCCCGGGTATCCCACATTTGGTGCAGTCAAGCTACCGGCGTGCTGTCTTCTGACTGGCCACCTGTTCGATTTGGGGCAATCGATAGCAATACCCGGATTGGTGCACAATTCACTACAGGACAAGGGGATGGGTGGGCGTAAACGGAATAGGACAGTGTCACCAGGATACTTTTGTATGGTGTTCATGTTTTGGATAGGGTACACAATTTCTTGTAGAAGAAACTGTGACCAGGGGAAGCTTCATATCCAGACGAGATAGTCAGTCATTCGGCTTCGTGTGTGTGTGTGTGTGCACGCATGCGTCTGTTTGTAGGCGTTTGTATCCAGCTGCGTGTAGGCGACAGTTCGACCGGCATCTGTCAGATCCGCCCCTGTGCTTTCCCGTAACGCGGCAAATACGGACATTCGCCTCCTGTTACTACCCTGGCGCACGTCGTGGGCGCGGTGAAGTCAGACGTCGGACACAGTTCTCTCCTCCACCATCTTTCCCATTGCACCAGCTTACGGGCGCACGCCCCTCCCCTCTCTTGTTTCCCATCTCATCCATAGAAGTGATACGTGTGCGTGCATAGGTGCATAGGTCCGACTGCGTGCATCGATCGATAATTGACCGGTTTGTCTGGCACAATCCGTTTTATTCAGCGATCGCCTCGGTCCGGCACGAGTCTGACACAGACAGTGTAAGCAAACGCACTTGCTCCACAGTCGTATTTACCCATTCGCTTGTCTACTGACTGACAGTGAATTTAAAACCAAACGGTTTACTGTCTCCGTTCGGAATCCTATTCTGTCTATCTGCACAACTCAATCACAACTCATCTCGCACTGAACAATGGCTACCCGAGTTCAAGATTATGGTATGGATGTGGCCATCTCCCGCAAAGTGAGTTCCCTGTCTCTGTGTTATGCGCCTTATCTGTTTTCTATCATCTCTGTGGATTACTTTGATTATACTCTTAATCATGTATATGTATATAGTACTGTCGATATATCATAACAACTTCAGACAGGCTTATCAACTGTGTGCAAATGTATGATCTGTGCTTGCGAAGTAGGCTCATACGATACGGATACTATGGTACTGAACGTGGAATAATGTGATTCTAAAGTTTGATCTACTAAGGCACAATACCTCATCCGGATGCAGTATTACATCATCATCATCATCCAAGTTAAGGTGTGTGTGTCTGTATGTGTGGAATTCCCATGTCATAGGCATAACTCCGTTTGCAACTGAACATGTCAGATTCACTCACTCACACAATAAAGTGACCATAAAAGCGGCACTCCTGGGTTCTGATTACAGTTACTAGGTGTTGTATAAGTTACTATTTTGACGGTCGTAGAACGTTGGTTACTTGTGCACAACACATTGTTTAGGAGAGATACGCACACACGTGAACATATCGCTAATGCGTGTTATTTAGCCCATTTGAAAAGATATCCCCGCGGGAATAGTACGCGTGGTAATAACAGTAGTATCTGTTACGAAACGAGCTCAACGCTGTGGATTCACAGATTGTCGAACTAACCGATTTGGTGAATTTGATTTTTGGAGGGACCACACGAATGACCTGTTACCCAATTTGTGTCTAGATCCATCCGTGGTTGCTGGCTAATGGGACTAAAACAGATGTGCCTTGAATTAAACAGAAAAAGCCAGATTATGGAGTAGGTGATTGGTCATATGTCAAGCCCCACAGGTCTTTGAGTGGATCGAAAAAAAAAACGGATTCGCTCTGACCGAGAACTGTAGCTTCTGGGTGAACAATAATTATCAGAGCGAATAAAACTGTGCAGTTCACTCTCCATCACGCAACGTATTTGTACTACTTGAAAACATCTATTTCCCACGCATGTACACACTTAATTTAGTGCGTGTTCCTTATCGAAAGCGTCTTTCTGTTACCCTTCGTCATTAGATTGATGCTAAAGTACATGCGTCATACATTGTAACATCCCAATTTACTGAACTGCGCTGCGTAAATCGGTAAAACCAATACGGTATGTCTGTATACAGTGGTACTTGCTTCGAACCCAAACCCGGGCTCGCATAGATTACTTTCTTCTTACCCGTAGTCCTTATTAGTCCAAACTGGTCAAACAGGCCTTCGAACGGAAATAGGTGTGTGGGTGTGGTAGCCAATTCAATAAACGGGAATATCTTCGTTGGCTGCAGAGATCTACCGGAACAATGAATCAAACTCGATCAATCCACATTGTTGGCAGATGGCTCCAATATTTCATTGAATTGCATTGTAGCTCAACGGAATGGACAACAGAAGATTGTCCGTTGAAAATGACTTTCTCCACTTGAGTTAAGCAGATTGTAATCTGAATACGAGTTAATTTTTCTGTAGTGTAATCCTCCGATTGTTCTAAATGCCATACCTAAGCAAGTAAAAATATGTTGATCACAGTATTTGCTGATTGCGACATTTGTCTGTATTAGAGAACAAAAAACAGGCAACTTATGTCCCTCTAGTCCCTCTCCCAGAATGTTAAAGAAGCGGTGTTCCTTTGCACGCAACACACTCCATTGACTGGTTTTAGTGGACACGTGGTACCGATAAATCAGAACGCTCTCAATGCTGTGGCTAGTGCTTTGCGCGCACAGTGTGTTGCTCTGTGGTTGCAGGGAAACTAACTGATTTATGCGGGCATACCGCATAATCCCTGTGACCACTCTGAACACATTCGTTCCGGTCTCCGCGCATGCCCATATATAAGTCCGGGGCCTGATCGACTCTCACGTTCCCATTTCGTTTGTAACGGGAAGATGCAGAGCGGGCGACTAATTCGTTTTGGGGTAAGCAATTTTTCGAAAGTGGGAAATGCGGCTTTTTCTCTGCGTTACATTTTCCGAATACATTTACTCACGTGGGACTGGGACTGGGCCTGCTTCAATTTGTGAATGGAACGTCTAGTGTGCGCCAGTTATGGTGTTAATGGACGCCTAGGTTTGGGATCACAAGTGTTTGTCAACTCGGTCAGCTGTCCCTCCCGAGTGGAAATCATGTGCCTCAGGTTGCAGTGGATGTTTGTTATTTGTAGAGAGTTCTAAACATTAATGCGCCTCAAAAGTCACACCCTACCCTGGGAATAAACAAACGAAACTGTTTTACTTGTGTTCTCCCCTTGCCAGTTGAACAGCCGATATGATCCGGACGCGGAACGACAAGCTATCGGTTGGGTCAATCAACTGGTCGGACAATCCATTCCTCTGGGTCGCGAGAATGTGCAACGCTCGTTGAAGAATGGTCAAATTCTTGTCGAGTAAGTCCACGTGTTTTTCTTCTCTCTCCCCGATGTTGAATTTCCGTTCGAATTTGAGCACATCCCCGATTTCGGAGTATATTTCTTATTAGGTACTGAAACAAAATGTATCCTAGTTACTTGTTCAAGTTCCACTCAGCCCCCGTGGGGTCTTGCGGAACAGACCATGGACCTAATTCATAGCACAGATTACTCGTTGATCATCAGGCTCATACGAACTAATTTGTTTGATTATGGTCACACTAAAGGCATCAACTATTTTATTTCACCTTGTTCCCCCACCCCTGCCCGGGTCAATAAACAGTCTGATCAGCGCTATCTACGACCGCACACCAAACTTGCCCCCCAAAGCTCAAATGGTTCGTCGCCCAATCCGACCTTCTGCTGGTAATGCTCCATTCAAACAGGTACGTCTCTGGTTTCGAGTAATGACTTGTTCAATGCCCTTTATTTACCGATCTGCTTTTTCGTCTGTGATTTATAGAACAGTAGCTGATCAACTCACGCGTTTCCTACCGGTTAGAATAGTGTTATTTACAGTCTTATCAATTCATCATTTTCGATTCAGCACGATTTAGACGACTGCGCACCAGTTAAAATCGCCAATGCAAAAAATGACAGGTGTACTTTTGGGAATCAGTTTTTTCCTACTCACGTCCACCATATCCCTCACTCTCTCGCGCTCTCCCGCTCTCTGTGCTGCAGATGGAAAATATTCAAAAGTTCCTGGACTGCTGCGAAGCCTACGGTGTTCCACGCGAATGTCTGTTCCAAACTGTTGACTTGTACGAAGCCCGAAACATGGCCCAAGTGTTGGCAACTCTTCTTCAACTGGGAACCGAGGTTGGTTTGTGCAACAATATTGTCTGTCTGTCTCAAGATCCAGGATGAGACATTCATGTATATTTATTTATGCTTCTTTGCTGCTGTACAAAAACCTGTGCGAATGGCACACAAAAGATGAAGCTTCAACAGCTCCATGAATTCCAGTGTCTTGCATAACGTTCATCACGTGAGTTGCGGTCAAGATGCCGCAGGCACATCCAATGGCAGAATGGGTTGCTTTATTTTAATTCCTAGCTCATCCCCAAATGGTTTCCAAATTCAATGATAGACAATCAAAAAGAACCGGTCAAATCGATTGCTAAGTTTGGTCGGACTCAGTCTATGGAAATATTATTACGTAATCAAGTTACGGGGCTGTTTCACATTATCAGGCCACCATAGTTAACTGCTCTCTGTGATTGAGGCAAGTTGGTTCCTGGTTTGAATATCAACGAGCTACTCCCCCCCCCAAATTACCATTAGTTTTGAACATTCTGGCACACAAACACGGAGCATATTTTACTGTCACTCGCTTGATTTCGGTTGGCAATAAAACCCGGTGATACACGTGAAGGTTTTTTTCATTGTGCTTTATGCTGTGCAATCGTCTGCTAAATAAATCGATTTGTTCATTCTAACTTCACTTGGTGAGAACTATTGATTGCCATCCATGTGTGTTCACTTAGTGTCAACGTAACGGATTCCAAGGACCTGCTTGCGGACCGAAACCAACTTATGCCAATCGCCGACAATGGAGTGAAGATCAACTGCGTGCTGGTGAAGGCATTATCGGTTTGCAGGCCGGAACAAACAAGTTGGCCTCACAGAAAGGCATGTCGTTTGGAAATCAACGTCACATTGCCGATATCCGTTGTGATGATATGACTCCAGAAGGTAATTCGTTTTTGGGCTATGTTGCTTCTTGAATGCATCTAGATGTGATTGACAAATGCATTTGCGGATTTTGTTGTGTGTGCGGTTTCTCCCTGCATATGACAAATTACTTTCATTGACTGAACACAAACATCACTGCCTCTCCTCTCCCTCTCCCCAATCCGTATATATTTTCCCCAGGTGCTGCCGTTATCAGTCTACAGATGGGAACGAACAAATTTGCTTCGCAGAAGGGTATGAGTTTCAGCAACCAGCGTCACATTGCTGACATTCGTTGCGATGATTTGAGCCAGGAGGGAAAATCGGTGATCAATTTGCAGATGGGCACCAATCAGTTTGCTTCCCAAAAGGTATCCTTATTCACCCCGGACACTTATTGTTCCACTTGAAAATTTGTGGTATTCTAGTTGTCTTTTTGTGTGAAATGAAGTGACCAATTTTGCTATGGAATTAAATATTTTATGCACATTAGCTGTGAGCTTGTAGCTGATTCAACAGGGGTGGCATGAAATAGTTTGATGCATACATCCGATGACCAGTTTCAACGTGTTGCATTTCTTTATCAATCAGATTTAATTTCAGATTATTTTCTGAGTAGATGTTCCCACCACTTGCTATTTGTACTGAGAAACTGAAACGTGACCATCATAGTTCTGGCCTATTTCTACTCGTTTTTATCGTTATTGTTCGGTCCGACTAAATGCTATCGAACAGCACATCAACACACCTTGCCTGCATTTTTCTCTTCTCTCCACAGGGAATGCGACTGGGAGCTAGCCGTCACGTAGCCGATATCCGTTGTGATGATCTATCCAAAGAAGGTCAGAGCATAATCAGTCTGCAATACGGTACGAACAAACTGGCCAGCCAGAAAGGTATGCGCATGGGTGCTCAGCGTCACATTGCTGACATTCGCTGTGACAATTTGTCCCAAGAAGGCGCCTCGGTGATTGGTCTTCAGATGGGTCTTGCCCAAAGCCAAGTAGCTTCACAAGCTGGCATGTCATTCGGTGCTCAAAGGCACATTAATGACATGCACTAAATGCCCAAATGAATTTGGACGGTCGAAGGTGCGCAAGTTCCAACCGCCAACCGAATCGTATGTGTTTCCGCGCGCGCGCGCGCGCATTTGAGTGAACGTGTGTGAACTCAAGGATTTGGTCAGAATTTCGTCCTATGCTTCGTAGAACTTGTTTGTGTGTGTGTGTCAGACGTGCATATAAACGATAATTTTCACCGAGGANCACATTTGAACACATTTCGCGCTTTCAAAATCCACTGTCCGTGTGAATTATCGCAGAGGATGATTGGATAGATTTCGTCGTGCTCAGTCAGATTGGCCCCTCGCAATTGAGAAGGGTTTTTGCGGTCGGCACCTGCCCGGATGGACGGTGCTCCTTCCCCATTATCCCCGAAACCCTTTTCTTTGCCCTTCGTTCTTGTGTTGCGGTTTCTTCTTTTGTTTCTACGGAGACTATTTACAAGCGCCACTTGCTCTCATTCGGTCAAATTCACTGTGTAACCGCCAATCGATTGGAGCCAGTTCACCCGCTCTATCTATCACCCTATCACAAACTGTGTATGTTCTCTGTTATCCGTCCGACTCCCCGCTCTCCACCTTCTTTGTACCCTTCCTTCTGGCATTTGTTTATCTTGTTCAAAAACCGAAACCGTACAGACCATCTACGATGACGACTGTGACGAAGACGAAGACGACGACAAATATTACCACTACTACTATTACTAATACTACAGATCTGTTTTGTTCCTCTACTTTCACTAATCCGCTAACTTCTTATCTTGTGAATTATTTACTCCAGACCAAATCACCACAAACAATCAAATTGTCGGTGATTTTCTTTCCTTTATTTATTATTATGTTCATATGTGAATCAGAAGCTTCCGAGAAACAGATTGCAACATACCCGAAGTGGATTCAGTTGCTAGTAGGGGAATATACATATAGTGTTCTTTTTCTTATCTTCGTGCTTTGCTGCCAACACATTTCGTCACTCCATTAGGTTGTGTTTGTGTTTGTGTGCGTACTTGCGTGCATATGTGTTATTTTGGTGGTTGGATGAGCGCACTTTGACATCGGACTATGTTTGTTTGATCGAATTTAAAATTTTGAAATTTGAAATTTGAACTGTGTCTGACGCGACGACATAGCGCGCGCGCACGCATCCACTGGACTATGCACGAACTCAAGTACACACACACATGCACGCACGCACATAAAATTGATTTTCTGATCTACGGAGTACAATGGCATGCATGCATGTATCTTTCTGTTTCATCATCCAAATTTCCGCTCTCTTCACTTATGTGTCAAACATTCACCAATCAGTTCTTTCTTCTCTCGGAAATTATCAACACAAATATACATCTGTCCACAGAGGTCGCTTTATCACTCAGTGTGTGGGCGTGTGTGCATCTGATGTCAATTTTATTCCAACGCGATTTATATTCATCTGTTAATCTATCTCTCTCTCTCTCTGTCCGATAATTCAAAATGTGGTTATCATCACTATTTATTTATAAATATTGAGCATGCAGATAAATGCGATAGTAAAGTGGATTCATTTTCTCATACCCAGGGTTCCGTGGGATTGGTGGGGGGGGGGGGGGGGGGGGGGGG